GTGACTGGGCTGACTTCGCGCTGTCTAGTGGACAGTTGTACCTTGACGCGATGGCCATGTACATCCTTGGCTGGAAGTTGAACCACGCCATCTGGCAGAGTGAACGCAACATGCGACAGCATATTGGTACATAAATGTTGGAATTGATGTCAGAGGCTTCGGTCTCATCAACTCTGGTCCCATTGTCGGCCTGTGTCATTATCATTTTACGAGCTTGAGTTCGTCCTTTCTTTACGAAAGGATCTGAGGCATTCGTGGTTGCTTCTATTACCTTCGATGCAGATGCTATCTCGCGCACCGAAAACTCTGAGCGCCCTTACTGTTCTCACCTCAGACTGATGCCGTTGGCCTGCGTTCTTTGTCATGCTTAAAAAGGGGCTGTGTTTAGCTACTTCTGCCCTCTTAGCAGATCACATGCTTTTACTTATACTTTCCTATGAATTATTGGCTTTGTCGGCGAAGATCACGTGTACGCCTGCGCTCTAATTACTACACATTTAAGAGCTTACACGATTTAGGTAGGCTGTTGTTTGATCCAGCTCAGTCGCCCTTCCGTTGTTGAACATGTAAGTGTTAAGATTCTGAGGTTGGGACTAAGACCATTCGGAATTGTTCTGGGGAGAGGAGGGAGATCAAGGTTATATACGTGCTACATTAATGTTAGCCGCCGTTCAGACTGTTTTAGGGTTGCTGTTTTGGCTGGATTTCCTTCAAACCTGTAAACTTTATTACAACAGGGGAAGTTGTGGTTTGGGTTAGTTTCAAAATTTTAGGGTTAGCGTTAACGTTTCCATCACCATTGATTAGATAATCCATAATTGAATTATTCTGTAATTGAATTACTCGACAATAAATCATGAAATTGATAGTAATAGTTAATTAATACGGATAACAATTTCTGATTCATTGGGGTTTTGCAAAATTAATCGCGTAGCAGTCATTAACAGTTCGCTAGCTATTTAGCTTTCCATTATTTTACCTATTTCCTTAACACGATGTTTTTAAATTTGCGCGATTTTCGCAAAATAAACTGACGTACTTGAACAAATTTCTGCATATTTACCATTTTTCACATTTGTGAACCCTTAACTGCGACCCCTCCCATTCACAGGAAGCATTTGCTGATAATTTATGAAGCAGGCATACATACGTTATCTTTGTCCCTTGGTGGGCCAATATGACAGATCCGAAGTCTTTCGCTATCATTGCATAGATCTGATTGTTAACTAAAGTCCCTTGCACATACGGCCATTTTTATAGCGTCTTTTGCCTTTACTGAAACAGGCTTCTGATGAACTCTTTGACCAATACGTTCTCCCCGAGCCTGGACACTGTGGCTGCTCTTCTAGAGAAGAAATTTGGTAAGGGCACCAAGCTGCCTCTAGAGGACTACATGGATGACTATGACACTAGCAACTTCTCAACTGTCGCCGATCGCGGGACCCTTGGGGGTTCAGTTCTAGAAACAAGCGTCTCGGAGCCTGTCACAGTACAGGCCCTCTCCGGTTCA